CAGGTCAGGAAGCAACAGTTAGAACTGGACATGGAACAACAGACTGGCTCCAAATTGGGAAAGGAGTATGTCAAGGCTGTATACTATCACCCTGCTTATTTAACTTATATGCAGAGTACATCATGCGAAATGCTGGGCTGGATGAAGCACAAGCTGGAATCAAGATTGCTGGGAAAAACATCAATAACCTCAGATATGCAGATGATACCACCCTTACGGCAGAAACCAAAGAGGAACTAAAGACCCTCCTGATGCAAAATGAAAGAGGAGCGTGAAAAAGTTGGCTTAAGGTTCAACATTCAAAAAACTAAGATCATGGCATCCGGTCCCATGACTTCATGGCAAATAGATGGGGAAACAATGGAAATAGTGACAGACTTTATTTTGGGGGGCTCCAAAATCACTGCAGATTGTGACCGCAGCCTTGGAATTAAAAGATGCTTCTTGGAAGAGAAGCTATGACAAACATAGACAGCGTATTAAAAAGCAGAGACATTACTTTGCTGACAAAGGGCTGTCTAGTCAAAGCTATGGTTTTTCCAATAGTCATGTATGGAGTGAGAGTTGGACCATAAAGAAACTGAGTGCTAAAGAATTGATGCTTTTGAACTGTGGTGCTGGAGAAGACTCTTGAGTCCCTTGGACTGCAAAGAGAGCCAACCAGTCAATCGTAAAGGAAATCAGTCCTGAATATTCACTGGAAGGACTGATGTTGAAGCTGAAACTCCAATACTTTGGCCGCCTGATGCGAAGGACTGACTCCTTGGAAAAGACCCTGATGCTGGAAAAGACTGAAGGCAGAAGGAGAAGGGGACAACAGAGGATGAGATAGTTGGATGGCATCACTGACTCAATGGACATGAGTTTGAGTAAGCTCCAGGAGAAGGTGGTGGACAGGAACGCCTGGCGTGCTGCAGTCCACGGGGTTGGAAGGAGTCCGACATGACTGAGCGACTGAACTGAACTGTAGCCTGCAAGGCTCCTGTCCGTGGAATTTTCCAGTCAAGAATACTGGAGTAAGTTGGCATTTCCTACTCCAGGGGATCTTCCAGACCTAAGGATTGAACCCGTGTCTCTCACGTCTCCTGCCTTGGCAGGCAAATTCTTTACCACTGCACCACCTACTAAACTAAAATATGTAGTTCTCTCAAAGAACAGTTTGGCTTCTTATCTATTTTGTAATCAGGTCCTCATTCCAACAGCCACATCCATAGTTCTTTTCTAAGCATTCTTAGGTATGCTATGATTTTTTTCCTGACTTTTGACTTCCATCTCTCTTCCTAATTATGGTAATATTAAGTCAATCATGGATCACAGGCAGAAACTTTTTCATAAAACATTGTTTAATTAAAGGAAATTGAATAGATATCATACCAAAAGTCAAACTTCACTCTGAGACATCTGATAAACTCTGAGATTTCATGAATGGTTGTGAAGGTCATGTTTTTTACTTGATCCTTGCTAAAAGACTGAGTTTTAACCGGGCTTACCTCTCAAAGCCTTTACAAATTTTATTTGCTGGAAGTTAGGATTAAAAACAATTACACCTCCCAACACTACTGTCCCTTTAAATTTCCTTTCATGCCTTTTCTTTGAAAAATGACAGTCCTGTCTGAGCTCTTCTTTCTTCTTACGCCTTCTAAATGAAGCCACCAGTAACCAACACACACAATATTGAAATTCTGTTTTCCTGCCATTTGTCCTAGAGCTACAAATTTACTAAGTACTTGATCTGCATCAAATATACATGATTTTTTTTTAAAGTATGTTCCATATAGTAGTTTATCCTTTGAAAAAGTTGATCGGTCTACATTTTATTAAGTCCCACTTACTAAAATACTGGCTAGTAGTATAACAAGAATAACATCAGATGAAAGCAAACTATTCAAATATCAATATACCTCCCATTTCCCAATCCAGATACTATAAGCTTAGGAAATTTAACTACAACTATGAAATATTTTAGACCTCACAATATATCCTCAAACAAAAGCAAATTATCTTACTTTTAGATCTCAAATATAACTCAATCAGATACAGCAGGGCAAAACAAGTCTAGAATTTTAAATGACTAGCTAACTATAGTTTTGTGTAAAATTCAGAGATAGTAGAAAGCCTTCTTAATATTTTCAGTGAGGGAACTTATATAACTCCCATCACATTCAATGAAACATCATGAAACCAACTGCATGACATTTTTCATTTGCCCTGCATGTATAATTAAACTCAATAAAATATAAAGAAATCTTTCCAGAGCAATAGCAGCTCACCCTCAAACAACTTGACCTACACATGATTTGTCTGGCAAAGTCAACCTATCATTCACAAATCAATCCTCCATTTTTCTCTCCCCATAATACTCCATACACACCAACAACTAGAGAGAAAAAAATCAAGTAATAAAGATTCAGAAGTTCCTGCTACACATTGAGGAAATTAAAATAAAAAACTGATAGTAATCTTAAATATGACACTATTTATAAAATATTCAGGGGGAAAAATAAATAAGAACATATCTTTTCTCTCAAGAGACATTCCTGACGACAAAAGGTTTCAGGTGCAAGAGGATATTAGACAATCATTTAAATAGTAATTCCTCATTTCATTTTAAAGGACATAAACCATAACATGTTATATGGTGATGAAATTTAACCACATATTACTTACAGAGTAAAATCTGGCTCATCTAGATCCAGCACCTATAAAATATAAACTGACACGATGTGCATATAGCATATTACCTTCCCTGGTCATTTAACTGAGCTCTTGTCCTGTTCAACAGGAAAGAAATTTATTCCAGGTCTCATAGCACTAACTTACAAAGTTTATGTTATTGTTCACAAAAGAACAGTGAACATCACTGAAAATGTCACAGTAAAGAGTTCTGAAAAGCTTCCCTCCATAAAAGCAATGAGAACACTAGCCGAAAAAAAAAGTCAAAATCAACTTTTTTTTCTCAAAATGCTAGAAATTAACCAAAGACTTGCAGCAATCTTGGAAATGATTATTAGAGGGAAAAAAAAGCTTCATCTTAGTAAGAACAATGAGTTTTGTGACCTTTTAATTTGCTCTATGCCCATCTGTCTGGGCTTCCCAGGTGGCTCAGAGGTAAAGAATCTGCCTGCCAATGCCTGGTGAACTACAGTCCATGGAGTCGCAAAAGAGTCAAACACGAGTTAGCGTCTAAACAACAACAAATGCCCATCTGCCCATCACCCGGTCCACAGGCGTCCTGAAAAACAATGGCCACAATCAAGTCTAGCAGTTCTGGGAGTTCCCAGAAAAAGGTCATTATTGGACATGAAAGATTTCACATAAAAGGCAGTCATTATGTGAACTTACTCAGAGCTCACTAGTACAAAAAGTATTTTCCACCAAAACAATCTATCAAAACCAGAAGCAACTGACATAACTCTTAAAACTCAACAAAACGAAACCCATTAATAGGCAAAATATCTCAACAGGTATCTCACCAAAGAAGATATACAGATGGCAAAAAGCATATGAAAAGATGTTCAACATCCTAATGCATTAGGGAATCACAATTAGAAGTCAGTACACACCTTTAAGAATGCCAGAAATCCAAAACACTGATCATGACAAATGCAGGTGTGGACATCGAGCAAGAGGAACTTTCATTCATTACTGGTAGAAATGCAAAAAGGTACAGCAACTTTGGAAGATATTTTGGCTGTTTTATCTCTTTTTACAAAACTAAAATACACTTACTATAAAACCCAGCAATTGTGCTCCTTGGTATTGAATATTTACCCAAAAGAACTGAAAACACATCCAAACAAAAACCTCCCATGGGTGCTTACAGCAGCTTGAATCGTAAGTGCCAAAACTTAGGAGCAAGCAAGAAACCCTTCAGCAGGTGGAATGATGAACTATGGGACATGAAATACCATTGTATAGTACAATGAGATACTATTCAAGGTTAAAATGAAATGAGCTGTCACGCTATGAAAAGACACGCTGAAACCTTAAGTGCATATTACTAAGTGAAAGAAACCAATATGAAAAGGCTAAATACTGTATGCTTTCAACCATATGATATTCTGCAGGGGCAAAACTATGCAGACAATAAACAGATCAGAAGTTGCAGAGGTTGGGGGTGGGGCGGGAGGCATGAATCTGCAGAGCACAGAGGATTTGGGGCAGTGAAACTATTCTGTATGGTACTAAAATGGTGAAGGCATGTCACTACCCTTGTCAAAACCCATGAAATGTGAAACACCAAGTGTGAACACAAACTGTAAACTACAGATTCTGAGTGATAAAGATGTATCAGTGCAGGGTCATCAGTCATGACAAATGCACTTTGGGTGCAGGATGCTGACAGTGGCTGAGGCTGCGCACATGTGGGCACACGGCACATAGGAACTGTGTGTGTTCCAATCAGGTAATGTTACCAAACAGTTAAGGAAGAAACAGCACTAACTCTTCACAGGCTTTTTTTTTAATAAAGAGAAAGAAACATTTTCCACTTCACTGTATGACACCAACACCACCAAAATCACACAAAGCCACTACAGGGGAAAAGAAAATTAGATATTAACATTCTTATCAAAACATTAGGACATCTGATTAGGATATCAGCAACATAAAAATAATTATTGTAGTAATGATTACATTACTTCTTCATCATGATGAAGAAGTTTATTCTAGCTCTGCAAAGTAGGTTCCACAGGTAAAAATCAATGTAAGTCTCCACCCACCAGACAGGCAACCCACAACCTGGAGCACAGTTACATCACAATCCTCCCAGTGTAGTGAAGGTGCTGAGCCCCACATCAGGCTTCCCAGCCTGGGGTCTGGCAAAGGGACTAGGAATCCCCAGGGAATCTGACTCTGAAGGGCAGCAGGACTTGACTGCAGGACTTTCATAGGACTGGGGGTAAGAGTCTCCACTCCGGGAGGGCACACACAAAATCCTGTGTGTACCAGGACCCAGGGGAAGGCAGCAGGGGCCCCACAAGAGGATGAACCAGACCTACCTGCTAGTGCTGGAGGGTCTCCTGCGGAGGCGTGGGTTGGCAGTGGCTCGCTGTGGGATGGGGGCACTAGCAGCTACAATCCCGGGAGGTGCCCTTGGCATGAAACCTTCTTGAGGTCATGAGACAGGACACTATAAAACTCCTAGAGGAGAACATAGGAAGAGCTCTAGGGTAAACTGCAGCAACGCCTTTTTCAATCCCTCTCCCAGAATAATGGAAATAAAAACAAAAATAGACAAATGCAACCTAACTAAACTCAAAAGCTTTTGCACAGCAAAGGAAACAATAAACAAAACAAAAAGACACCCTTGACTGGGAGAAAATATTCGCAAATGATGTGACTGACAAGAGGTCAGTCTCTAAAATCCACCAACAGTTCATGAAACTTAACATCATCAAAACAAACAACCCTATCAAAAAATAGGCAGAACACTGGGGTACATGTGTCTTTTTCAATTTTGGTTTCCTCAGGGTATATGCCTAGTAGTGGGATTTCTGAGTCATATGGTAGTTTTATTCCTAGTTTTTTAAGGAATCTCTATATTGTCTTCCACAGTGACTGTATCAATTTACACTCCCAGCAACAGTACAAGAGGGTTCTCTTTAGTCCACACCCTCTCCAGCATTTGTTTGTAGATTTTTTGATGATGGCCATTCTGACCAGCGTAAGGTGATATGCTGAACAGCTTTTCATGTGTTTATTAGCCATCTGTATATCTTCTTTGGAAAAATGTCTGTTTAGGTCTTCCGCCCACTTTTTGATGGTTGTTTGTTTTTCTGGTACTGAGTTGAATGAGCTGCTTGTATACTTTAGAAATTAATCCTTTGTCAGTTGTTTCATTTGCTATGTACCCAATGTTTATTGCAGCACTATTTACAATAGTTAGAACATGGAAGCAACCTAGATGTCCATTTACAGATGAATCGGTAAAGAAGCTGTGGTACATATACACAATGGAATATTACTCAGTCATAAAAAGGAACGATTGTGAGTCAGTTCTAATGAGGTGGATGAACAAAGAGCCTATTACAAGAAGTAAGTCAGAAAGAGAAAAACAAATACTGTATATTATTGTATATTAATGCATATATATGGAATCTAGAAAGACAATACTGATGAACCTATCTGCAGGGCAGCAATGGAGATGCAGACATTAAAAAACAGAAAACAAACTGGTGGTGCGGGAGGAAGGAGAGGGTGGGCTGCACGGTGAGAGCAACATGGAAACACACACCACCCCATGTAAGACCGACAGCCAACGGGAGCTTGTTGCATGACTCAGACAGCTCAAACTGGAGCTCTGTGGCAACCGAGAGGGGCGGGATGGGAAGGGAGGCAGCAGGAAGGTTCAGAAGGGAGGGGACGTGTGTACACTGATGGCTGATTCATGGTGATGCTTGGCAGAAACCAATACAGTACTGTAAAGCAACTATCCTTCAACTAAAAATAAATATTTTTAAAAATTGGCAGAAGACCTAAACAGACATTTCTCCAAAGATGACATACAGATGGCCAAAAGGCACATGAAAAGATGTCCAATATCACTAATTATTAGAGAAATGCAACTCAAAACTGCAATGAGGTTATCACCTCACACCAGTCAAAATGGCCATCATTAAAAAAAAAAAATCCACAAACAATAAATGCTGGAGAGGGTGTGGAGAGAAGGGAATCCTCCTATACTGTTGGGAGGAATGTAAACTGGTACAACCACTATGGAAAACAGTATGGAGATGCCTTAAAAACTAAAACTAGAGCTACCATATGACCCTACAATCCTACTCCTGGGCATGTATCCAGAGAAAAACATGACCCAAAAGGATACATGCACCCCAGTGTTCACTGCAGCACTGTTTACAACAGCCAAGACGTGGAAGCAACCTGAATGTCCACTGACAGAGGAAAGGAAAAAGATGTAGGACATACATACAATGGAACACTACTCATCCATTAAAAAGAATGAATTAAGGCCATCTGCATCAACATGGACGGGCCTAGAGATTGTCAAACTGAGTGAAGTATGTCAGACAGAGAAGGAGAAGTATCATATGACATCCCTTACATGTGGAATCTAAAAAGAGAGGAAAACAAATGAACGTACTTACAAAACAGACTCACAGACTTAGAGAACGACGTTATGGCTGCAGGGGTAGGGGATGGGGGAAGAATGGGAGGAAGTGACAGGGAGTTTGGGATGGACATGTACACACTGCTATCTTTAAAACAGATAATCAACAAGGACCTACTGTATAGCACACAGGACTGCTCAATGTTATATGGCAGGCTGGATGGGAGGGGAGTTCAGGGAGAACAGATATTTGTACATGTATGGTCGAGTCTCACTCCATTCACCTGAAACAATCACACCATTGTTAACTGGCTATACTTCAATACAAAATTTTAAAAATTTAATTAAAAAAATCAATGTAATTCTGCATATTAATGGGATAAAGTAGAAATTCATAGGACCATTTCAACTGATACAGAAAAACCACTGGGCACAGTTCAACACCTGTTAGTGATGAAAACTCTGAGCAAAAGAGGGACTAAAAGGGGATTTCCTCAACCTGAAGGACAATTATGAAAAGCTGCAGCTTTCATAGTATTTAATGGAGACAGACTAAACATTTTATCCTCAAGATCAGGAATAAGGCCAAAATGTACTTTTACTTCTATTAAAAATCATACTGGAGGTCCTAGATGATGCAAAAAAAAAGATGATAGCTAGATAGACAAAAGGTATATATGTTAGAAAGAAGTAAAATATCATGGTTAAATTTTTGTAAATGTAAACAGTCAATTTTAGCAATTTAGTAATAATGTTAATATATAAAAGTCACTGGCATTCCTAAATACTAGTAACTAGCAAAAATTAAAGAAAAACAAAATTTGCAGTATTATCAAGAAATATGGACTACTCTGGGACAAATTTAACAAAATTTGTGCAACATCTATACAAGGAAAACTACAAAAACACAACTGAATTTAAAGACAATACAAAAGGAAAGAAAATAGATATCACATGATACAAAAAATCATATTTCTTATGAGATAATTTCCAGCTTATTGGTCTAACACAGATTCAGTGTGATCCCAAACAGATTTTCAGCAAACTTCTTGCAGAAACTGACAAGTTGATTAAAAATTTATATAGGAAAGGGCCAATAATCACAAAGATGTCTTAGAGGAATATAAAAAGCTGGAAGAGTGACACTACTAGAAACTAAGTATTACATACAGACTTAAAGAATTATTATACCTAATTTCAAAGCAGTGTATGGTAACAGCATAATGAAGACATATAAATCAACATAAGAGTGAGTGCCAAATAGAACAAAAAGCCAGTCTGCTTTTAAGACCATCCATTGATTGGAAGGGGTTGGGGGGAGGGGGTAAGTACTGTTTTTCCAACTCTAGAATTACCCACCACCAGTACTTTTTAAAAACAGTTCTACCTATACTTTTTCGGTGAGATCCTATCTCTTAGTTTATTACAATAAATGTCCCCTTGCATTATAGAGCATATCTATGATGTTGCTTTAAAATTCTTGTGTTCTAATTCAACTTCTCAATCACGTTGAAGTCAGAATCCATTGACTGCCTTTTCTCTTGGACAAAGCACATTTTCCTGTTTCTTTGTATATCTAGATTTTTTTAAACTATATTTTGGACATTCTGAATGACTTATGAGAGATTCTGAATTGTTTTGTGGTTCTCTGATGAATACTTTTACGGCAAAGATGATATTTTTATTGCAACAGGCAGTTAACTTGGCTGAAGTAAAAACACCAAAGTGCTTTTCCTGTGTGGGCAACCACTGAAATCTCTGTTCAGACCTTTTAGATTTATCTGGACTGCTTGAAAACTGTCTCATGCAAGCCCAGTTCAGGGGTCACACGATGATATGGTGAGTTTATAGACAAAATTTAGAGCTCCCCTCTGTGAGTCTGTCAATCTCCCCACTGACTTCCCAGCTGCTGTGTGGCGTGTGTGCCAAGTGGCTTCAGTTGTGTCTGATTCTTTGTAACCACGTGGACTGTAACCTGCCAGGCTCCTCTGTCCACGCAAATCTCCAGACAACAATACTGGAGTGGGTTGCCATGCCCTCCTCCAGGGGGTCTTTCGGACCCAGGGATCAAACTCATATCCCTTATGTCTGTCGCATTGGCAGGCAGGTTCTTTACCACTAGCGCCACCTGGGGAACCCTCCCAGCTGCTGAGGTTACCCCAAATCCTAACCTCTGGCTACTCAATTGGAAAGGCTGTCAACATCCTTTTTAAGTTTTACCTTGGCCTGCACATTGGGGTAGCAAATGTGGTAAACATGGGACATTCATGCAGTGCCATTCTCCTTTTCCAAACAGATACTCATCCAGTTTCTGTCTGCTTTTGCTTGTTACCCTTGTATTCAAGCAGTTAAACTCTCAACTTTTTGACAGATTGTAACTGTTACCACAGAAGCACTGTTCAAAAGGTGGTACTCCTTCCTTATTAGAAGCAATGGTAATTCAGTTGGGAAAGGTAAAAATGGTACTAAAAGAACTGGATATCCATAGGTTAAAAAAAATGAACCTTAACCCTCCCCTCACACAAGAATGAACACAAAACAGACCAGAGATTTAAACGTAAAAGCTGAAGCTATATATTTCACAAAGAAAATCTGTGTGACTCTGAGGTAGACAAAGAATGCTTAGATAGGACAAAAACGCAGGAGTCAAAATTAAAAATGAATGAACATCAATGTTAATTTTATGACTCACCCATTTTGTGTTCTATCTAAGCAATTTTTCTCTACCTCAGTCACAGAGATTTTCTTTCTGGAATATACAGTTTCAGCTTTTACATTTAGATCTCTGATATACTTTGTGTTCATTTTTGTGTGAAAGGAGGATTAAGATTCACATTTTTTCCATATGGATATCCAAAAAAAAGACGCTTGCTCCTCAGAAGGAAAGCTATGACAAACCCAGACAGCGTATTAAAAAGCAGAGACATCACTTTGCCAACAAAGGTCCATATAGTCAATGCTATGGTTTTTCTAGTAGTTAAGTATGGATGTGAGAGTTAGACCATAAAGAAGGCTGAGCACTGAAGAACTGATGCTTTCAAACTGTGGTGCTGGAGAAGACTCACGAGAGTCC